TACCGAGGAGGAGGTAGGTTCCATAGGTAATTGGAAATAATGGATTACTGAGGCCTAGAATTTGATAGAAGTACTTAGAGCTGGCATTAACTTGCGGTGTACGAAGCAGTTCTCATCAAGCCAGACGGATGCCAACACACATGTTGATCTTAGTCTTATGAATCACCCCAGGTACGTAATGACCAACAACACTCGCGACTGACAGACCCCTGAGAAGTCATCTCTCTCAGCCTAAGGTGTCACTGAACTGTGGAGCCTAATTTGCATTCCAAATGCTCACGACCATTTCCGAGGATTTTCTTTCCTGTTCATAGCTTCTAACACTGCCTCCCGATCCGGGGGATCTCCTCTGAGAATGGTAAATGCGCCATCCCCTCGCTTGGAATCCCGATCTGCCAATGCTAAAATGCGCTATCCGCTTCTACAATCTTGTTGGCAGCAGCCGGTGCAGATACCTGGCCCAGACCCTGCCACAGGACTCCAGATACGACTCAGGGTCCGTCTTCCGATGGCTTTCACCAGCTGACACTCTCCATATGCTCGCTTACTTTCTGCCTCACAGAAGAGGAGGCAGCTGAACTGATCAGAAAATGTTCTCCTGGGGAGAAAATCTGAAATCCTGTAGCTCCCCCAACCATGGTGAGTACTGGAAAAATCATAGCTCTGTTTTCCTTCCTAGTGTACAACCCGGCTCAATATGAATAAATTCCAAAATTGGAAAGAAATGAATTCACCCCAGAGACCCTCTGACAGTCCACAGATGTGGATCCTGTGGGTGCCCAGACACGTAGGTGGGACACTCATCAGGTTAACCCCTTAGAACATTTCTTAACTCGTCTACTTTGGGTGTTTTCAGTCCCCGTGACATGAGCACAATCCACAGTTCTTTTCAGATAATTGATTTGGCATGTTTGTGATTGATTTCACTGAATGTTTCATTTTTCACTGGAAGTTTGGCACCTACGCCTGGATGGTGTAACAATTCTACTTTTTCCTCTTCTCGTTATACGCCAAGGCACTGGAGAGGGGCCGTCCTTTCTGAGTGAACCTGGTAGCGCCCTTCCTTCCCTTCCATGGAGGGCAGTGGTTCCTGCGCTTGGCGCTAGTTGAGAATACAGGAGTTAACCTTGATTTGTGTATTGGCTGCACTTCTCTTTCCACAGTTGGCGCGCTCCACCGACCCCAACGCGAAGGCTGTCCATGCGGGGCGCGTGTCCAGGCTCTGTTAGGGGCCCTGGATGTGCTTCACACAGCTTCAGATTAGGATCAGGAAAGCATACCTCAATCCAGGGCTGTGACTAGTTGGGTGACTAACTGCCTGCCCAAATCTCTGTGAGGCACAGGGTAGATACGCAAGATTGTACTAGGCCTGTCTCGTCCTTTGATCAGAGTTAAACATTCCTGAGAACCGCTGTGCCCGCAGAGTGCTGCCTTCTAAACTGGCCATGGCCAGCGTGGGAAGCAGCTCTTGGAACTGAGCCCATTTCCAGTGCCTGCCCAGGCACCAAACATGGCACAGTCACTCTGTGGAACAGCACAGCGACAGGGCATTTCCGCCAAGACAGGAAGTTCCAATGGATGGGACCACATTATCCCTGTCAGGGGTGCACTGACTGGCTTGAAGCCCTGGAAGGGAAAGGTCCAGCTCCCCACCGGGGGGCAGTACGTAGAGTACATTTGCTGTATTGTTATACTCTCACCCAAACCCAGTCCAAGAGTCTACGATGCACTCAAGTGCATGTTGCAGAGATTTATCAATCTGTGATCAATATCTAATTTTAAAAAGAATTATATCATAGGACAGGGGCTAGAAATATGCTATTTTCCTTTGTACGTGAATTCTAGTTGATTCATGGCCTGAGTATCCAGTACATTATCTGCCTCTCCTTTCATCCCCCGCCCCTCGAGAATGAGATTGATTTTATTATAGGTCCATTCCTCTTTGTTTATGGTATTGCATCTGTTTGATGAAGAACGAAACTCTGGCAGAGATTTAAGTGTTTAACATGTTATATATGCAAAAAGGGTAAGCATCAGCTATAGATCCGAGCTAAATAGCTAAAAGTGTGCTGTTTATCATGGCTCACTTGACTGTTAGTCTCACATACATCACAGACCTAACAGGGAACAGGCCTCACGAATCCATAAACAGCCTCCAGACCAAGCTATTGAATGAGTGATATTTAAACATAGCATTCATAAAGTAATAGGGTCTTAGAGTTGACAGAGGCCATAGAAGTGTCAGAGAAACGGATGCCACAGCTTCTCCTCAGAAAGGAGAAATCTCCAGTCTCCAGGGGTCAGAGGCTGTGTGGTAGGGTCAGGGTTAGACCTGGCTGCCAGCCTGCACCAGGGCTGTGGTGGGCGCTTTGTTCTTTGCCCTGGGCTGATGAGGGGGATCAGGGAGATGGGGCAAAGGGGAAGAGGGCGAGCGGGCTGCGATCTCTCCGATGCAGGAAGTGCTCCTGGTGTCTGGCTGGCCTCCGGGTCACACCCTGGCATGGTAGAGGCCCATCCTTCTTTTCCCACAGCAGCTTTCCAAGTTTCCGTTTCAAAGTTCCCTCTTCCTGGAGTCAGTCAAATGCCCAGCCAGTGGACGTTTTGGAGCCAGAGCAGAAGTGTCCTGCCATGGGGTCTGAGCGTTTGTCTTAAGGGTATGTGGATGTAGTTCAGGGGATAATAAACTGTCTGCAAAGGGAAGTGAAATTCAACTTGCAGTCCCCGGCCTTCCTTAAACTATCAAAGATATTCATGATCAAGGAAGGATAGACTCCTACAAAAGGAGAAATGAGCACGCCTGTGGGGTGTGTGTGTGTGTGTGTGTGTGTGTATCTATTAGGGAATGAACCCAAGGCCTTATGTGTGCTAGACAAGCGCTCTGTACTACATCATCTCCACTATTTTCTCTGCAATTTCAGAGCGGGGGGCTGTGAAACGGGGCACAGGGGCCCCCAGACAAGTCTCCCTTACCGGTAGAGGGGTTCCCACAAGCGAATCCCTCATCTCCCGGACTGGAATGCACCGCAACAGGAAATGGGACCCCACAAGGCCAGCTGACCCAGAGAGGCAGCATCCCAACTCGGTGACACCAAGAGCTAGATCAACACCCAAGGCAGGAAAATGGCAGTTTCTGCCCCTGGGGGACGGTTGTGTGAAGATGCCAGAGGGAAGGTTGGCACGGAGGAGCCACGGTGGGCACAGGCCAGGGACGAGGCCCAGACAAGTTGGGGAGGGCAGGGACTGCCAGCCCTGCCCTTGCCTCACTTGGAAACGGCTGGACACCCTCACTGTCCCCAGGGCAGGGACAGCTGCCTGTTGCTAAGGAGAAACCAGAGTCATCATTTTTATTTTCCATTGCAATATTTAGGGTTCCTGTCTTCTAATAGATTCCTTCCAGTTAAAAAATGGAATTGGGGAATTCCATACACCCAACAGCAGGAACTGTTTCCAGTTACAATTCTGAACTAAAATTACATTTAAACTTTCATGTGGGAATCCACATGGCAAACTTAAAAACTATCTCCTGAACTAATTATCAGTGTGAGCTATTAGTATGTTTGCCTCAAGCATTTCATCATTTATTTTTGAAACAGTCTCCCTATGTAGTTTAGGCTGGCCTTGAACTCACTGTGTCATCCAGGCTGGCTTTGAACTCATAGAGATCCTCTTGCCTCAGCCTCCTGAGAGCTAGGATTGCAGGCGTGTGCCACCATGCCCGGCTCTGTTATATTAATTTCTGGATGCAATGTTACAATTCCACCGCAGTTTTCAGGGACTCTGGTTTTCAACAACAGCCTTGCAAGGAGATAATGTATCCTTGACTAGGGGTCCAATATTCTGGCTAGGAATATTTTAGTAGATTTTTAAAGAAATTCTTACTGGTGACGATAGACTTGAAGACACTACATGATAAACCTCTTCAATAGCAAGAGGCCGGGGATAATGATCTGTATAGTTTATTTTAACTTTACATGCGGTGTTAAAAACCCAAAGTACATATTATTTACACATCCACAATACAAGTTTACAAGATATCTATACATGTTAAAGTACTCTATAAAACAGTATAGAGCCACTTCACTTTAGGATCACTTTTTATGCCGTACCATTAAAAAAGATACAATCTGTGTTTACCTTTGCACAAATGGATAAAACATTTAAAAATTAAATTAACAGGATACAGACTAGATTCAATGTTAGAGCTCTCAACATAAATAGTGATAGAACTCACGAACTACAAGGCCGCACAATGTTACAAAGTGTTACCTGGGGTCACACAGAGTTACCACGCTGGGATTAATATTGGTAAGGTCAAGTTGAACACGTGTCTGTGGGTGGTGGACTGAGTAGCGTTTATCATGGGTTGGTTTAATTTATTATTATTAATCGGTAATATTTTAGTTGCGAAGCTGAAGTGTTTCAAGAACAGACGTTTTTAGCTTTTTTGAGATCACAGGAAATCAGGTTCTTTATAAAACAACGTTCTCAAAGGAAAAGAGCAACCACGTCAGTGGTATCAGCACCCTACATTCTGTAGAAAAGAGATCCGGTCCTCGGCACCGCATTCTCCCTCAAGCAATGCATCGCGTCCCGAAATCAGCTATATTTTGTCTGACTCGGCGGGCATTGTCCTCTGCCACAGTGCTTTCTAGAATTCGGTTCAGGAAATAAGGGGGGTGGTGGGCAGCTTATTAACTGACCCTGGCATCGGGTGGCATCTGACTGCGTGGACTGCACCACTCCCTGCGCCGGTGGCTCTCCCCGGGAAACCCCGCCTGACTCCAAACGTTCCCTGCTTCCCCCCAAGGAAGGCGGGCGTGGGATGCTTACCACAGCAGAGGGTGTGGCGCTGTTCTTCTGGCGGGGACTGTATAGCAATGAATTGTTCTAGGCTGTCTGTATGATTTTTTTTTTTTTTTTTTTTTTTTTTTTTTA